AATTTTTTGCCCCCAAAACTCTATTATTTTTTCCCTTTCCCCTCCAGCTCAGAGGAAGAACTCTTATCAGCATGATTTCTCTATGTACCAGGGAGAGGAATATTTGGTTTCAGATTTCTGAGGGCTTTTATAATTGCTGTCAGTGCTATTCATTTAATTGAATAAGGTCTAGGAAGCTTCACAGAGGGATCCTTTAAAAAGGTTTTTTCTCTACAGATTCCATCCCCGGAGTCTGGGGAAGAGACAACTGAAAAAAAAGTTAATTAATACCATTAAGTGTTTATCCAGCTAGTGCCAGAAGGCAAGGGACAGCTCTGTCAGCTAGACTAGAAATGGTTGATCTACATGAGAGAAATCAGAATCACCTTCTTAAACAGAAAACCCCTACATTTTAAATGAAAAAGAAAATATATATATATATATTTATATCCAAACCTATAAATAGATACAAAAATACTCCCAGACTTGCTATGCTTCTATGAATTCAATTAAAAACCCAACCAACCAACCAAACCACAAAGATTTACCTAATAATTTACCTTCCTTCAAATCTAAAGATATTTTCTTCTGACAAAGGCAGGCGAAGTTCCTGGTAACAAGAAACTAACTCTGTTACCAGGAACAAACAAACTAACTCTGAAAAAAAGACAGGGTAAATTAATTCTTCAATCGATGTTGAGAAGCCATTGGTAGAACTCAGTACATCACTAATGTTGCATCCCGGAGGAAAGGGTTAGTCTTCATATGCAAGACTCTTTCTTCTTGGTTTAGAATGAAGTTCAGCTTTAAGTTCTATGTCATATGCATTTGCAGAGTTGATTTCTAATAAGGTAAGAAATAACAAAAGTTTTCCCTAACCTTAACTATAAAAAACGAGCCTAATGTTTAATTACTGTTGTTTGCCAGATTGCCAAGTAATCCCATGAACTGATTGACGATAGTGTCCTTCAGGGCACAATGGATGTGCTTTAGGAAGCAAAGGAAAAAAAAGCCCCACAAAAAGTCTGTGAAATAATAACTAAATGGACAATTGAAGTTACTGTGGCACGTAGCCTGTGATAGTTCTAGAAAATCCCCTGAAGTTTCCATGAGCAGAAACTTTATCCCAGAGAGATTTAGAGAGATTTTATGTCTCCTTTGATCTGACTGCAAGGTCTATGGAAGGTAAAGATTTTGATCTATCTCCATAGTCACAAGTTTTCAGAATAATTTTTATTTGCTCATGCAACAATGTTGCTGAGAAAAGAATGGCTTACCAGTTTCTCTACTGAGTGAATTTGTTTTGAGGACATCGTTTCCAGATATATAGTCCAGACTGGTAGCAATGGCATTTATAACAGTGGGCAGATCTGCCAGGATGAGACAGATTCACCTATCCAATCACAGATGGTAGAAAATATGACTCACAGATGCTGCTGTGTGAGAGCTTGGCCTCAGGAAGGATTCAGAAGCACTTGCAAAAACGGATTTTATTAGCTACTGTTCTTTTCTCCAAAAGCTGATTTACTGTGTGCTAGAAGGAAAATGAAAAGGGAAAAAATAAGAGCTTTCTTCTTAAAGAAGAATGATATATTTGATTGTGAGGAGCCTCAGTTGCTTGTGACTTTCTTTTGTCAAACAGATGATTTGTTGGATTCACAATATCTGAGTCAAGACTCCTTCAGTGCATCTGGTGTTTCCCAAGGAGTGAATGTACTGAACTTAAGGAGTGCTGGTGGGTGGGAGTGATGGCTGGGGAGAGGGAAAGCTGGGCTTCCTGCGGGTGGAAGGAGGAGAGTAGCAAGCCTTTTAGAAATGCTGCTAGTGATATACCAGCAGCATTTCTCAGAGCAAATTTATGTTAGGACAAGCTACTAATCATTGACAGAAATGAAAAATAATTGAAGTTCAGTGTCTTGTTCTGAAAGCTAGCATTTTGTTGGAGAGTTCTGCTTCAGCAGAAAAAAAACCATTCCAGCAATGGTTTTGCCAGGGATAGACCAGCACTGTGCTGAGCGTGTGAGGCAGCCCCAGGCACACTGCATTCAGCCTGCTCACCCTGCACACAGCATCAGTACCCCCGTGTTTTACAGAGCTCATTACAGTAGTGTAGGTCACTTTCTCTGGTTGTCTTATGGGCTCTCTTTTGCTTGCCTTCCTCCTGGCTGTCTGGCAGAAGTAAAGGACGAATAATACCCACTGCCAGTGACAGCTGCTCTTAAATAACTCTCCCCTTCTGTCCAGAAAAGGTCCATTAACAGCATAATGTAGGGAAAAATAGCTCCAAGAGGTATCCAAGGCAGAGCTCCACTGTTTGTTATATCTCTACTTTTATTTATTCTAATAACTACCTGTCCAAAAAAAGGTTACCAAACTTACATGTGAACTAAAATACTGACAGTAGTGCAAGGTCAGGTATGAATGAAAGAAAGACATCCAAGAGCAAGGAGGAGTGGTTAGCAATGTGATCATGAAGTGATTTATTTTGATCCTATGAATGGATTATGAGTATTACTGCTTTTAATAATATCCTTTCATTCTTTTGCTTCTGACATTGTACCAGTTTAATTAGTATTGTCAGATGTTGGTAAATCTGCATCTAAAATGCTCACTATTTTCATTAGAAAGATAAGATGTTTTGGGGTATTTTTTCAAGGAACCTTTTGGGTTTAGGAGGGCAAAGGGAAACATTTCTGGTAGATGCTTTTCACATAGCTTTAATTTTCTCAAATAAGTATTTTTAGCTGAAGTTAATTGTCTTCACATCCTCTTAGGGTGTGGGGAGGGAAGAAGGGAGGGACATGTTTCAGAATAGTAATTTTTCTGATCCTAAATTGTGCCCCAGATAGGTGGGATGAATTGTCCTTTAAAGGCTTCTGTCCTTGCCCACTGGCTACTTGAGAAAGGCTAGCCAACTTCAGTATAATAAACCCCATCAGTTAAAAAGAAAGGCCAACAAAAGTATGCCAATACAATAATTTCCCTAGCCATTTAAGAGGGAGGAAAAGAAATTTGAGTTGAGGTGTCTACATGTCATCTAAATCCAAAATCTCTTTGAACTTGACTCCCCATGGTTTTTCTCTTCCATATCTCCATTCATACTAGGAGCAGCATTAGGTTTGTTTCACTCAAGACCTGTTTAGAGGCATTGTAAGGGAGATTAAAAAATGCATGGGCTTTTTTTTACAGCTGATAACTTGACCCTTTTCAGCTTTGATTGTCTCTTGGTAAGCAACTAAAAAATTAGGCAATAGTTCTGTTTTCCCAAAGAAGACAAGGGACCAAGCTGTGTCTGAGAATCTTTGCTTAATATCTGCTTTCATTTTAGCTTAATAAGGAAACACATTTCAACAGTCTTTCTCCCCTTACACATCCCACCAAGGCACCTTTTCCTTGCAAAGTTCTCCTTGCCAAGCCATCCAGCAGCAAGATGTACCACCATGAAAGTTGCAGCCTTCCTCTTCATCTGCCCTCTCCAGGCATGCCTGTGCTATCTCTGATGAAATGGATGTACTGCTTCATTACTGCTGCAAACATGTGGAAAGCATAATTTTCCAGTCCTTTATAATGATGGTGGCTACATGGATTTAAATAACTTATCTCGGGAAATGAAAATAATGTATTGAGTCCTTTAACTCATTCTGATTGCTATCTTAGTCTACTCCAAATTATCTGTAAAATAAACCAGCAGATTAACAAAAAGCAGTGCACAATGTTGCAGAAGCATCTTTCAAAATAAAGAATGTATCACAGCAAACAATATGAAAACCAAACTTTCTAAATTTCTTCTTACAATATTTAAAATTTTATTCCTTTTTAATAATTTCCTTAAACTTGATAAGAATTCAATGCAAATACAGTTTTTTCTAGGCAGAAATAGTAACCTTGCCAGTATTAGCTGACACTAATACTTCATAATGCATTTTCAAAATCCTAACGATTTCATTAAATTGAACTGAAATAATCACAACTTTATTAAGCTTCTCAGTCTCAATATTTTTGAATATTTCATTTTGATTAAGCCAACTATTTCTGAGAAACAAAATTTGGGAAAAAAATATGTGGCTTTGTCCACGTTAAAGCAACTTGGCAACATCTTTTGACTGTTGTATGAGTGTTCATTAGTAATAGAGGTATATATTAATTTAAAAACCATGAACATAGGTTCAAGAGCACCAACATAAAGTTAATTTAAGCCTGACATTTCAACATGTTTACAACTTGGCAACTAAAATAATGTCTTTGCAGTATATTTTTTGTGTTGCTATGCATATAACATAGGAATTGCATAAAGCTATACAAGATTGTAATATGTGGTTTGGCTTGTTATTTTTATCAGCAACTCTTGTCTTTCTTTTTTGAACTTAAAATCCTTGCAGAATTAAAAGCATGTCTTACACGGGATGTGCATTAAGGCCTCTGACCTTTGTTATATAGAAAAAATACATCATTCCTTTCTACTCCTTGGGTAACAAAGGCAAATGTTAAACACATAGACACACAAAAACTCCAAAATAAACTTATCTTTTGATACCTTTTGAGCGTGTTTTCCACATCCAAGAAGGTTATGAAGAAGTGAGCACTGTAAATCTTAGTGAAAACTATCTCAACTCCTGCTACTCTGAGAGGTGAGATGAACACTTTTCCACATTTGCATACATAGACACAATAGTAGCACCCTAATTTTTTTTTTCTTTTTCCAGGAGTTAATAATAAACCTGGACTTCAATATTAATATTTAAGAGTCCTCCAAATTTCTTTTTAGAAATTGGAAAGCACTTTAGATACTTCTAATAATGATGAAATGAAATAAAATAATTTATGTATTCTTGTTTTCAACTTTCCATATTTCTGAAACTTTTCTTTGTTCATTGTTAAAAACCTTTATTATTAGCAACCTGTATTTTTCTCCCTGTATAGGAAAAAAGTTGTACAGGGATCTATCTATGGCTCATGGGAATCTCCCTGCTTCTTTTTTCTTTTTTTTTTTTTTTTTTTTTTTTTTTTTTTTGTCTCTCCAGATCATTAAAGACCAGAAGCTACTCGTGATAGTTGGAGGGATGCTACTGATTGATCTTTGCATCCTGATTTGCTGGCAGGTTGTGGATCCTTTGAGGAGGACAGTGGAAAAATATAACATGGAGGTATGTCCTCAAGCCCAAATAATACTTGTGGTTGCATATCAATATCTACAGCTTTCTATAAGACCAAGCTACAAATGCAGTAGGTTATATGAAAGCAAATCAAACTGTGTATTTTGGGGGAGGAAGGGTTCTGTTTTTTAAACCAAATAGAAATGAAATAACTGCAACCAGAAGAAATTTTATCTGTAGTTGAAGGTGCCACAATTCTGTCACTTGTGAGAGATTTTATTTGAAAGGGTTGTAAATACAGGAGAGTCCTCTGCTAAGACTCTCTCTTAGAGTTTGTTGCAATAAATAATAGATTATCAGAACCCATTAGTGGATTTCAGTAACAGCTCATTCAAGATAAGTGCAGGAGAGGTCACTGCTTAGACTGCATTCTTTGTGGAGGTGGTCAGGAATTATGTTACCTACTGCTATATTTATTTTTAGTAATTTTATATTCATACATCCATACTGATTGTTCGTATTTTAATGTCATTCTCAGAAAGGTCACAATTGCGATTTGGATAGGGAGGAAGTAATAGGGAGGAGGTGCTAACTGTACATATTTTCCAGCATTCTGGTTGGTTTCTAGAAGGGGAGCTGAAGTAGAGCTTTCTGGACAAACTGACAGTAAGAAACAGGACAGCAGCAATGCACAACCAGAAAAAAATAAAAACTATCTGTATGTAGATAAGCAGTTTTTGAGGGTTTATTGCTTCCAACGTGGAAACTGGTGATATCTGAAAACTAGATCATATGAGGGCAGTCTAGAGATGTTATTCTCCAATATTTGGCAATCAGTAAGAAAAAGAATGGGAGATTTCTGATGTTAACATGCACAAGAAAAGATATGCTATTTTACTCCATTGCTTTTACTTTGTTCTTACTTTGCAGGGTAGCTCTGGAATTTTATTAGGAGAAGATTTTAATTTTTATTTGAATGTAATTTGTAGAAAATAACTTAGAACAATGCCTCCTGAACTGCAAGGGTTGCCTTTCAAGAAATCATTTTAGAGTCTGAAAAGATATGTCAGTCATTCCATAAAGTTTGAACTTTTTTTTTAAAGACTTCTTAATTAATATGGTTTTCAATAAAAAATGGAAAATGTAATTGAAATTTGTCTTGTGGAGATGTTGCTGCTCTATGTGTGTACAGCTTAAAGCCATAGTAGCTTGTTCAGAGCCTTGTTTACATCATTTTGTTCCAACTGTATCGGAACTGATATTTCAATTGTCAGTATTAACAGTTTCTCTGCTCATCTAAAACAAAACATGAAAAAAGTCATGAAATCCAGCTGAAATAATGCTCATTTAGAAGGAATTTTACTTTTTACTTTAGTATAACTAAAAATCCTGATATCTAGTCTTACCAGAATCACTTAAGTGAAATGTCCATAGACAGCAGCAATTACTGTGAAGTTATCAAACCATAAAATGCCATATATTTGAGAAATAATGTTTACTGCAGTTTTAAATTATTGCAATTTCCATATGAACTTTTCAGTGTTCTTTTATCATGTAACGTATAATACTAAAAACTTAGTGTAATTGTTCCGCGTTTGGGGCTGACTAGACCATGGGGCTGCACACCAGTTACCTGAACTTTTTAACAGAACTGAAATTCTCTGGGAACTATGTAATCCCATGCAAAGTCACGTTCAGGGAATGCACACATGAGACTGTTTAATATTTTGAGCACTCAGCGTAGAATTGACTTGAACGTACTGTTAAAGCTCTTAGCTATTACTATAAGTTTTGCAGAATGTTTTTTAAGCTGGTGGATTTGGGGTGGGAAGAAAATAAAAGTATTATGCAAGCAAGTCATTAAAATATTGTATGTGCATAAAATATGTTTATTATATAAGCCATGAGGTGAACTGCAATTTGCTTTCCTGATGCACACCTCTTCAGGTCTAAAAAACTCCTTAGTAGAGGCAAATAACTAATTTTTTGCCCCTATTATTATTATGCTATAATATAATTAATATCATATCATATAAATAAATTTTAAGTGCAATGGTCAATTATTTAGTTGAGCTGGACTGAGCAGGTATTATCTTTTCTGTGTTTGAAAAGTACTTACCACATAGTAAACACTGCTGGAGGCAAGTTTCTGTTTTATTTCAGGAATATTGTGTAACGTATATTCCTTGTCCCACTTGCTTCTATGAAATAATTTCAAAGGGATTACTTCCCTCAGTTAAAGCTAATCCAAGTGATGAAGACTAAGCTAACTGTAGGCTCCAAGGTTATGAATGCAATCAGTCATTCTAGCTAATGAACCATTTGAGTGCTGTTTATGAATACTCACTGGCTTCCTACATGATAGTTCTGCATTTGGTTACTATCAGGTGATCCTCTCTTAGTTGTGTCTTCGTAAACACGTCAATCAAAGTAACCAAGAAAAGAAGCCTAAAAACTGGCAGTGTCCTTTGCTGTTTGCCATTATTCACAAAATAGTTTGTTTCAATGAATTAACAGCAGTAAATTATCAAGAACTCTTAAAAATTTCTTAAATCCAGAATGTAAAAATTCAGGCTCCTTTTCTGGAGTAGTTTGCAAAGTCCAAGCAATCCATGCCTAAAAGCTGAGGATAGGCAGTCTAAATCTAAAAATACAAAGGGAAGTGAAGGCTTTTGTGGAGATTTTCTGGCCCTTACAGAAGACAAAAGTCACATGGGATGTTGGGTCTGTCAGTTTTCAGACTTGTCTCTGGCATCCTGACCCCAGATGTATGGGTTCTTTATGAAAAGCACATCTGTGGCTGCTATAAGACACCATTTTAAAGTTTTAATGACTGAACCATAAAGCATCCAGATCCTCCGGTCATCAGTAGGGTGAGTGGTTTATGGTATATGATATATGGATAATAAAATTGCTGGATAAAAGCAAACAGGTTAAAGATCAAGGCAGGCACAACTTTAAAATTTCCAGAACTATATGTTGATCTCCTGCAGAAGAACTGTAAGGTTGCCCCTATGTACATTTCATAGAGTACTGTAGGCTTGATTTTCACATAACACAAAAGTTTACTGACAAAAAATGCTTCTCAACTTCAAGCAGCAGTGCAAAAAATAGGAATTAATCCATAATATTACCCCTATTCATCTGTTTTGCTAGTTGCACTGGCTGTAACATTTTTCCTTTTGCTAATTTTTCAGACCAGTGGAGAGACCAATCGCTTTTTTTCTCACTAGATTCTTCCTAGGCTGAACTAGGAATTTGCTTTTTTCATCATAAGTCACCTTTTTTTTCATTGTCAAAATGCTCTGTGGTTATGATCAGATCTCAGCTAGGTTTCTGCCAGACTAAGTGTCTCCCAGTTGTATGAACTGGAGCGTATCCTTCCTCTCTGTCTTGCTGTCTGGGTTCTTCAGCTCAACAGGCCATGAGGAATTATGGTACTTCTGTGTATGTAACTGTGCAAGAGCTTTGCCCCAGTAGAAAGGCTTTACCATCTTTTCCCAACCATCTGGATTTTGTCCTGGTTTCTTAAGAAGGCCGCGTTTATGTACAAGGGGCTCTGTGTGGTTTTTTCCTACTGCCTAACAAACTTTTCCTGTTTCAGTCAAATCTGACAGATTTGAGAAGATACAGTCTGAAATAGCAAAATCCTTTACAAAGTGGAGTCTGTGCAATAACCATAGCATAATTCATTTAGGTACTTAGTACAGTTCAAAGGGTCTGTGTGTAGACATACAGTCACACTCACCTCTTGCTCATAATGCAATAGTGTAATAACTCTTTTACTTTATAGTTTAGCTTGAAAGCTTATCTTCTCACAACACAACAGACTGAACCTCTGTGGCCAGGGAAGATAGACAATGATAGTGTTTAATAAATAATAACTTGTATACTAGGGGAGATGGACTAGATTTTATAATTCCCAAGGTAAAACGATCTTCATTAGTGTTAGATTCAATAAAAACAGTACCTTGCACACTGGATTCTACAATATTTCTTGTAGAATTTTAAAACCTGTTAGTCCAGTGCAGCAGCCTTTCCATTCCTTGATATCTTAGTACCAGTTATGTAGTTATCTCTGTGATGTTGTCTCTTATACATTCTTATGACAACAATATCAATACTTAAAAGTTAACTTTATTCTGATATCTGGAATACTAGTATTTAATGTTTCACACTGAATTGTCCTGGGATGGTAATAAATGTGAAATGGAGAAAAAGTGCCATTTTAGAAGACACAGAAGAGAAAGAGAGATCAATGAAACCCAACCTATTTGGGCTTCTAGCATTGATATAGATGCAAAGTGAGGAGACTAAGAATACCCAACCTTATATGAGGATATTGCAATAACAAAAATGCCAATATGCAGGAAAAATTGAGTATGCCATGCCAGTGTCAGAGTAGTGCAGTATGTTAACGAAAAATCAATTCAAATTACCATATTAATAATTTTTGTGCATTCCAAGTGTATAACTATGCTGTTGGATACATATTACTAACCAACAAGCCAGAAGGCTAGCTTTGACTGATAAGTTGAGGGAGTCATAAACATCACAGAAAGCAAAAAAATGCATATGTGAACTAGATGAATGTGCTGCTCAGACTAACTCATTTGGTAACTGCTTTGTAATTCAACAGATTAGAGAACCTACAGAGAATTAACCCTTCATTTCATTCTGAATAGCATACAGAATCTGTTCCAATGTCTAGATATCTGAAGGAGTTTTCTCCAATATATTTCCAAATATATTGTTCTTAGTTTTCATAGTTTGAAGAAGCAACAGCCGAAAAAGAGCAGTAGACAGATACTCAGGCTTCAGAAAAGGGAACAACACTAAACTGAGGAGAGACTAAAGAGGACACTGTAGAGAGTTAAATCTTTGTGGGTGATCTAGAGATTAGTAAGAATACCAGATTTGAGACACAGAGTAAATGCATGCCACACATTGAGTAAGACTTGAAAAAGAAGAGACTCAGCATGACAAAGCAGCAGGAAGACATCCTTCAAAAAAATTAAAGTTGTATCCAAATGAGGAAAACAGACAAGATC